TAGTCATTTTTTCTTTTTTTTTAGTCCTTCTATCAATTATTTTGTTAAATTTGTCTAAATATACATATTTTTAGTTAAAGTGGATAGATAAAAAATATGCATACATTAGAAGTTGAGGAATTAAAAATAATCATTTTAAATTTGTTTTCAATTTATAAGAATATGATGGTTTTAAATATTAGTATCTCTTATCTTATTTTCAAATTTGATATTTAATTTATAAAATATATATTTATAGTGATAAATCCGAAACGGTACGTGAAAAATTCTGGTATTCGGTACGTACCGTTTCAGTAATAAAATCGGTACACATGTCGGTATGGTATTAACTCCCTTGGTCTAATCTTCTTTATCTGATTATAAAGTCTGGTTAGTTGGAGTAACTTGTAACATAATTTGTAATCTCTATCGGCTTCATAAGTTGTATGCCAAAGATACCTCATCACCCTCTACAAATACCAAAGGAATCAACAATTTGATTTTAACCATTATAAATATTGCACAAGGCATGTTCAAGTTTGCTCGACACATATCTCCTGTGGCAAATTATAAAGATTGGTTACTTATAGTAATCAATTTTGTGATTTTATGTCTTTTAAGAAGCTTTTTCCTCTAAGATTTATCACTGGCCTTTACAAATATTAAAGGAATTAGCAGCATGATTTTCTCTTTGCTATCTGTTGCCAAATATGTTGTTGTGGTATTGGTTGATTTGGAACCCGGCCTGTACGGCAGAGATTGGTTGGTTGCGGTAACTTGTTTTGTGCTTCGATGGGTTCAGTTACTTGTGTCCTTGTCCTAAGATTTGTTACAGACAACTGAATTTAAAGCTACACATTGGTGGACAGTGGTGATATATCACACAATTTCAGATGTCATGTCTTGGATGATCTAACAGTCTACAACAAGACATTAACAAGAAGGATCAAAATCTTGCACGCTTAGTAACTACTTGGATATATGGAAATTTTTTAGACTAACTCCTATGTCATCCTCGTTTAAAGGTGTATGTTTTAAATCAGTATCTTTACTAAAACCGATAAATTATTTGTAATCTTTCAGTTATTTCTGTTTCTTCAATTTGAACTTATTGCAACTTTCATTCTGTTATATAGAGATATCAAATGGCACTCCTTTTCATCTTATGCATGCGTACTAGAAAATTGCATTCTGTACAAATTAACCCAGCTTGCATTATAATTGTGTAGGAAAATAATTGGTACTTTTTTCAGTTTAAGATACCCATAACACACTTGTTAGGAAATTATTATTTTTAAATTCGAACTAAGCTCGTAGATTGTAAGCCAGTTTGTGTGGTTTGAGAAATTATAAAGTAACAAAAGCAAGTGAAATTTGATCTCTTCTCCATAAGAAAAAGACGGTTTCTCTTGGATTGACCCTTCAAAACAACTTATATAATTGTCCTTTCTAAAAAACAACTTATATAATTGGATGACGATGGGTATACTTTTTTATTTAGGATTTATCTAATCTATGTCTTTAGGATACAGGTTAAAGGTGTAATAAATATATTCTTTTACAATTAATTTACATAAAAAATAACAAAAGTTAATTTTTATTTTAGTGTTATTGTCACGTGAATAGTTTCAATTAGTTAGTTAATTAAATTCAAGATAACTTTTATTAATTTTTATATGAATTAATTATAAAATGATGCATTTATTGCACTTTTATCTTGTGCTCTAAGGGTAGAGGATAGAAAAATCTTTTTATTTAATATACTTTATAATACCTATTGATTTAACCATTAAAATTCGTAACTTTTTAGATTTTTCATTTTTATAGATTTATTAGTTTGTGGATCAGTCGGTTTTACTTTCTTTTAATCATTCAACCTTTGGTCTCCCCATTTGTAAATTCTCCCAGTTTTCGCATTGTTTCATTCCGCACAATGCATCTTACTAATCTACTAAAAAGTTGTTGCTCATCATCGCCTTTCTAATTTCAGACAAATTTTAAAGTCATTTTACTCTGACATTGGTTCCGGTTCTTGCAGGTGCTGTATTTCGGAGCATTCCTTGTGAGAAATTCCAATAATATTGAGTGATGGTGGATGGTTAGTGTCTGGTACTAGTATTTTTCACAATTTCACCTGAACATTTTCTCTGAAGCTAGTAAAACCCATTCATTTTGATTCAGTTGTATATATTAGAATGGAATATCTCAGGCTCAGCTATGCTATGTGAAGTAGTAATGGAATGACTTTTTCATCAATTGAGTCTTCTCTGGTTTTTTCTCTCTTTTTATCTGGTTTAAAAGCAATAATTTTTTTTCTTTTTGAGAAAAATGATCTTGTATTGAATCAAAGAGAAAAAGTAAATACAATATAACTTCATCTTATTCATAAAAGGCAGCCAACAGTCTATAATTCTCATATTTCATCACAAATATGTCTCTGAAATACAAAGAAGCCAGAAAAATAGAATAAACTAAAAGAGATAACTAAACAAATATATGAAAATTAATTCCTAACTATTTCTTGCATCTTGAACGTTAGTTACATTAGTACAACATAATAACTTGTAACCAATTAAAAAACTTTAAGTTAAAATCATCCTACCTCAAGTATCTCTTGCAGACAAAGTCATGATATCTATGTTTAATGTACCTCCAAGGTCTTATAAGGTTGCAAATTGCAATCTCTAGTTGCAGATGACTCTTCTCTAGTTGCAGATGACTCTTTTTACTTCATTGTCTATATTTATCATGAGTATAATTTAAATTTGTTACTAGTGCTATAAGTTATATTTTTGATTTTGTCTTTAAACTATAATGCTTTAAGTTATATGCCTTGCAATGGAGTTTGTTATGTACTTTTTTATTATTTAATATAATTTCTCTATTTCCTATAAAAATAAAATGTCCCTCCAAAGTCAAGGAAATTGAAAAACCCTTTAACACTCCAATATCCAAAAAAATTCAAAATAAAAACTTACTATTCCAAAGATAGTAGCTAGCCTTTGTCCTTCACGTCACAAAATGAAACCCCACCATTGGAAGAATCACATCGTACTAGGGACAACACACGAAACCACATTTGCAGAGGTATAAATAAATTTCAGCAATGTATTCTAACAAAAAAAAGAAAGAAGGCTTTTCTAATGGAAATTAATCCTTTCTCTTTTTACTTTCTGCCAGCAACTCCAAATAGGAAATACCAATCTCGTCTCATTTTTATTATTATTATTATTATTATTTTTTGTGGGTTGATAATCCTATATCATTGTGAATTAAGCCTGATATTTATCCGGCAATGAAAATATATGAAGTTAATTCTCCAAAAAAATTACTTGTCTTGACCGGAATATGTAACATTACTTGCATTCCTCCTTAAAAAAAAATGGCAATACATACCCAAAGCCTCATTTTTTATTTTGGGTTAAAGTTAAACATTTAAATATTTGTATCGTTACGCATCTAACCCTTTAATGTTAAAAAAATAAAAATTCAGAACCTCTTCCTACTTTTTCAGAAAACCTAAATAAGTCCTATTAATTTCTTTAGTGTCGAAGAGGGTCCCTGTGGCTGTGGGGGAAGAAGTCAAGCATTTTTTTATTCCTAAACAGCACTCATATAGCTGCATCTTTTAATTTTGAATAATGATTTGCGGGACGAAATTGGGGGTGAAATTGGGGGACGACAAGTGAAGCAGGTTAAATTGATAATTTTGTATCCTGAATAGTTTCTCTTGTCGTCCCCCATTACGCCTCCCAATTTCGTCTCGCAAATCATTACTATTTAATTTTTAGCTAAACACGTGTGTGCACTTTTCCACGATTTTTTTATCACAATATTTCGGAAATTTCTTCTTCATATTCAATGTTAGCAAAAGTCAATATTTTCTGTAATAATTCTCCTTCTATTCTATGTTTAGGAGAATTCAATTTTTTCAACACGATTTTTCGTATTCAATGATTAGGAAAATACTTCATATTTGAAATTTTCTAATATGAATTAAACAATAAAAAATGCTTTCTGTAAAAAGTTTTCTTTAAGTAATTCAAACAATGACAGCATAAGTTGTTCTTGATGTGATAAAATTTATTAATAAGTGCATTAATTGTTTAAATAATAAAGTAATAAAAAGCGTGTTAAATTTGTAAAAATTGTGATTAATTCAGTATAAAAATAATTAATTTTAAAATTATTTGAATAATAAAAAAAGAAATTTTAATTAAGAATAATTAAAAGGAATAAAAAATTAAAATAAATTTAACCAAAATACAAAATATTAAGGCATTCTAGATTATTGCATGTGATGAGA